TAGAACATTGGTTACCCTCATCTACCCTAGGTACCCATGTTCTACCACGTTTACCTCCATCTACCCTTGGTTAACCATGTTCTACCACGTTCACCCTCATCTACCCTAGGTAACCCATGTTCTACCACGTTTACCCCCATCTATCCTCATTTACTCATGTTCTACCCAGTTTACCCCCCATCTACCCTAGGTAACCCATGTTCTACCACGTTTACCCCCATCTACCCTCATTTACTCATGTTCTACCCAGTTTACTCCCATCTACCCCTGACCAATCATGTTCTACCACGTTCACCCTCATCTACCCTGGGTTACCCATGTTCTATCACGTTCACCCTCATCTACCCTAGGTTAGCCATGTTCTACCACGTTCACCCCCATCTTCCCTCATTTACTCATGTTCTACCCAGTTTACCCCCATCTACCCTTGATTAACTATGTTCTACCACGTTCCCACTCATCTACTTTAGGTTAGCCATGTTCTATCACGTTTACCGCTATCTACCCTCATTTACTCATGTTCTACCCACTTTACCATGAAAGGCGTCAAGTTTTCACCGCAGGGTGAAAATAGTTGATTTCAAAAAATAGTAACTCTTCTTATCTTACTACTTTGCAAAATGAATAAAAATCCTTGTCATTAATTGGAGATTATTCCAAAATCCTCGTGAAAGTTATCTTTAATTTATTAGAAAATATATCTGCATTATTCTTTTAATTTCGTTACATCTCGCCTGGTTTCGTTTTGTTTCGTTTCGCAAAATATTGTACTAATAAGCCGTCGATTTGTTGTTCAATACGGCTGTAAATCCATGGGTTCTTTTGTAACAATTACAAAAATTTACCAGAACATACAGTACCGCCTGAGAAATGATCGATCTGGTTTACAGTTCTGATTGGTGGCGAAATGCCCTCTGTAAAAAAGAAAAACAGATCTGGCCGGCTTTTAATAGTGACCCGTAGTTAAATATTTTTGTTGTATTAGGTCATACTTTTAGGTGATTGGATTTTTCCTAAGAGATATCACTCCAAACCTTCTTCCATTGACTTCAGTTAGAAACAGTAACTTAAATAATAAAAACTTGCATTGCTTTACTTTGTAACTTTACTTAGTCGTGATACCAGGGGCGTTTCTTTCTTGGGGACTTTTGTTATCGTTAAGAATCCCGTCACCCTTCCCGAGGTTTCTTATCTAAACTTTTGCGAAATGCACTTTAGTTGGGGATCTTTTTCCCTGAAAAAATAATTAATCAATTCTTTTGTAAGTGCGTTATCAATCGAATTTCTTGTCCCTTATATTGTCTATCAAATCCCCAATGACCTGAAACTTATTACACTCAAGGCAAATTATTACTTCAAGAACTTTTTACAAGATAAAACGATAAACTAGCGATGTTGCACTGAAGAGAGAGAAGCAACGGAGATGTACAGGGTGAAAAAGATAGCATTAAGTCTACGGGAACAGCACGCATAAAGTACAGCTTTAGAAGGGTTGCTCATAGCTCTTATCTTCTCTTCCATTCAGAGGAAAATAAAAGAAAATGTAAAGGGATTTTCAATCTACTTTGGAAGCGCTACTTAACACTTCTTTTCCCAATTTTCAAAAGTTAAACAAGTTTAAGGGGTGCGAGGGGGTCATTCTTAAGATTGTAACTGAGCCGAACGCAGGCGATATAGGCATCGTAGCGGAAAAAGAATCGAGCTGTACACTTATTATGTTAGTCCGAATTGAGACGAGCGTACACTGATTTTTTTTTTTTTTTTTGTGCGCCAACTTGGCAGCTATCTGTGCAGCTTGTCCAGATAAAAGATTAAAGGGCTCTTGTCACGATGATTTCGACCTAATTACAAAAGTGTATAATAAGGAAATGTTTTCCGCAGATAGCTCAACATCACTTAGATTTATAACTTTTATTACACTTGTAAACGAAAACGAATAACAATTTGTCCATGTTCCACGTATTTGCAGAGTTCCTGTCGACGATAGGAATTCTGATCCCCTCAGCCTCTTCTAGATTCCAAGTGATCGCCTTTATAGGCCGTCAACTTGTTCTTCAATACGCCTCTTAATCCGTGTTTTTTTTTTTTGGCTTCGATGAGTAATAAGCCATCATTCCTACGAGGTGTAACACGGCTTGAAACTAAGGAAAATGGAATGAACGTGGAAAAACATGGGTTACCTAGGATATATAAGGGTTAACGTGGTAGAACATCGCTAATCTAGGGTAAATGGGGATAAACGTGGTAGAACATGGCTCACTAAGGATAGATGAGGGCTAACGTGGAAGAAAATAACTAAACTAGGGTAGATGAGGGTTAACGTGGTAGAACGTGGTCAATCAAGGGTTGATGGGAGTAAACGTGGTACAGAATGGCTTACCTAGGGTATAGGGGGGTAGAACATGACTAACCAAGGGTAGATGGGGGTAAACGGGGTAGAACATGGGTTACCTAGGATAGATGGGGGTAAACGGAGGTAGAAAATGGGTTAACTAGCGTAGATGAGGGTGACCGTGGTAGAATATGGGTTACCTGAGGTAGATAAGGGTGAACATGTTGAAACATGGCTAACCAAGGATAGATGAGGGTAAACGTGGTAGAAAATGGGTTACCTAGTGTAGATGGGGTTTAACGTAGTAGAATATGGATTACCTAGGGTAGATGAGGGTGAACGTGGTATAACATGGCTAACCAAGGTTAGATTGTGGCAATAGTGGTAGAACATGGGTAACCTACGGTAGATGAGGGTGAACGTGGTGGAACATGGCTAACCAAAGGTAGATGAGGGTAGACGTGGTAGAACATTGGTTACCTAGGGTAGACGAGGGTAAACGTGATAGAACATGGCTTAACCAGGATAGATGAGGGTAAACGTGGTAGAACATGGCTAACCTAGGGTAGATGGGGGTGAACGGGGTAGAACATGGGTTACCTAGGGTAGATGAGGATGAACGTGGTAGAACATGGCTAACCAAGGTTAGATTGTGGCAATCGTGGTAGAACATGGGTAACCTACGGTAGATGAGGTTGAACGTGGTAGAACATGGCTAACCAAAGGTAGATGAGGGTAGACGAGGGTAAACGTGATAGAACATGGGTTAACCAGGGGAGATGAGGGTAAATTGTGCATGACATTGCAATATTTTTTGTTATAATTCTAGAATTACATCTTCAGAAACTATTTCCTATGATAACCTTTTATCATACACACAGGATTTGCATCATAAATTTCCTTTAAGTCGCGCCATCACACCTAACTATTTCCTATGATAACCAAATTATTATACACACAGGATTTGCATCATAAATTTCTTTAGAATGATCACACCTAACTTCCAAAATTTTAGAGAATTTCCTGCTATTGTTCGATTCCTTATAAAAGAAGTACAGTTAGTTAGTTTAACTCAGTAGTTCAGAGTGTCAAGACCAGCACTTACAAGCTCAGAACCTTTTGGTCACAAAAAAGTAACTCCAGTACATGTAACCTCAAGTTAGTGACCTATTTTACTGAGGATTTGCTTGCAATCACCCTTTCTTTTTATCAGTA